TGTTTCAGATTGTCTCCTAAATCTCCTCTGACAGATGGATAGATGTACTACTGCAGCTGTGTAAGTATGAAATAGATCCCTTAAGGAGTGGGAGGAAAAGATCAGGTCTTTAAAGGGAGAATACAAGTCGAGTCTTGAGGTGAACTTGTTTTCAAATCATGCGCTTTAAAAAGAAATAAATGTTATTAAAAAAGAAGAAAACGCAGAAAAACCTAAGTCACCTTTTATTGCAAGTGGTGCTTCTGTGTCTGAAGTGGTTGGAAAAATGTGATTAACAAGTAATAACACTGACACTTTACTTGAAAAAAAAAAAAAAAAGAGATAGAGAATGACATTTGGGAAACACACTTATTAGCTTTCTTACAGAGAATTAGATGATAAGATCAAAACCACCTTCATGTCTGTACAATAAATATGAAGCTACTGCCAGCTGGCGAGGAGCTTAATTTTTTTTTGTACAAAAAGTTATATCTTATTACGAGATAAAATGTCTAATAAATTTATTGATAATAAGAAGAATTTTTTAAATCCTTGGACAGAGTCAGGCCTGCTGTTTGCCCCTGTTTCTGGTCTTTATGGTAAAGCTTCTTATTAAGCAAATAAGCATATTTCTCCGAAATGTTGAGGTATTCCTTACAAGAAGGCATCAAACTTCATTCCTTTACTCTACAAGAGCTGTCTCAAGCAACCCTTTTGTTTTGTTTTTATCACTTCTTTTCTTCTACTGAAGTTAGCATGCTAACCAGCTAGCTCCAGCCCGGTTGGCTTGTATCGTCACTTTCCGATACTGAGTCACTGAAGCGTTCAGGCTGCCCTCAAGAAGCAGCTGCTCAGAGGACGTATTATAACCTCTTATAATGGCAACAATGACTAAAGCTCTGACTAATAAATAAACAACTGTTAATGCTAATGTTAGGTGCTAGGTGATTATATGCAGTTCATGAATGGTACAAAACTCTTGCTTGTTCAATAAAGTATAGTAGTCTGTTGTACAGCTGGTAGCAGAATGATTGATGTCACTGAATTTAATTATCTGAAACAAAAACAAACAATTTTATATTTTCAAATTATATAATAGAATTTAATGAGAGTACAATATAACGGAGTTTATATTAATAATGTTATTTTTTTAAGTTCTGTCTAGTGTGTTTTTCTGTCTTTCAATATCTGTGTTTCACAAGTCTGATACTAAGAGAAGATTAACAAGATTGCTCTCTACATGTAGGTTATTTAGCAAATTGCACACTAAATATTTATCTGTGAACTTAATGTGAACTTCACTGATCCATCAAGAGAAATTAGGTAATTACAAAACCATCAAATACAAATAAAAAATCCAAGAAAAAACATTAAAAGCTGAGGAGATCATGATTTTATCTTATAAATGAGCTCTCTCTCTCTCTCTCTCTCTCTCTCTCTCTGTAACCCACTCTCTCTTATCTCTCTTTTTTTGTTTTCGTTTCCCTCTTCCTCTCATCTTCTCATCTCCTCATGCTTGGAAATGTCTGGAATTAGTCTGAGAAGATTTGTAAATTAAGAGGTGTCATTTTACAAGTGTCCAACTGAGACATATACTTTATTTAAAAGAAAAAAAGGAAGAAGATCACTGTGCTTCACTGTGAGAGCTCATTTGAATACCAAGAATATCAAATCTAAAGTATGCGTTGGCAGCTTTGCTTTGAGATGCAGAGCCACGAGTGTGAACCTTTTCAAGTGAGAGACAAAAGCATGTCAGAAATGAAGGCCTCTTACATAATTGAGGATCATTTACAACACACTCCACAGGGTTGTGCAAGTGATCAGGGCTGTTGTACCACATTAGACTACATCTCCAGATTAAAGCAGAGACATATATTCTTAAAACACTTCAAAACAGCCACAGATCATGCGTCTTTCATTTCTTACATTCTGCTGACTGGTGGTGACGTTTAAAATCTTGTCATGTTTATTCCCGCTCCCACTCATTCACATTGTTGGAAGGCCCTGGTCACATTTATGGTCATCCACACCAAGAACGATAACTTTAAAGATATCATTTTAAAAATCGCTCTAACTCAAGAGGATGGCGGATCGCACACCACAACTATATCGGCAACATCAGTGGCGAGCAATGTTGTTGGGGATCACCTTTAAGGGCAATTTGATGAATGATAGAAGCTCTGACAGCCAATCAGAATACATCTGAATTTACATGGTGTCACGTTCATGAAAAAACAACAACAACTAATGTATGAACCGTAGCTGTTCAAGAATCTCGAGCTCTAGAGTCATTTCTGTGAGACTGGCTGGGTGGACGGATTCACCTGGCACAGCACGGGGGAGGAGATTAGGTATGGGAGGTTATATAAGGACTGGGTGTGTTCTCTACAGATCCCTTGCTTGAGACCATGCTGCCATACCAATCCAGAATTACATGAAGCTGTTTGACCCCCATCTTTGAGGAAGGATCATGTGGAAGCAGATCATGTGTTGGAGCCATTTAGTATATTTCCTTTGAGATAATGGATAAACAATCCAGGCAAACTGATGTAAAGATTCCTTTTTACCTTCCATCCATCCATCCATCCATCCATCCATCAGTTCACAATTCACCATCTAATCCTTGCCTAACTTTCCTCATCCAATAAATGGTTAGATGGCTCCATGTTTTTTAATGTACACACCAGCTAGAGGCTGAGGTCGAGTTATTCTTATCATACCTCATCATTAATCAATAATATCCAAATTTATATCACATGTCAGGTTTAGAGTATATAGTCTCGTTACAGTCTTTTTTCAGCAGCACAGGAATATGAAGCTGTATTTGTTCCACACAGGAGGGTGGACTAGTAAAATGAACATATTGTTTTCATTGAATAAACAGTATCTCTCTCTGTCTCTCTGTCTCCTCGTCTCTATAGTGCTGAAAGACAGCAAAAACAGCAGCTACTTTTCAATTGTCTTCTTTTCATTCATATTCCTTTTAGAATAGACAGAACGATGATACATAAAAATCTAAATCAAGTGATTTATCAATGTTGTATCTGCTGTATCTGCTTCTTCTTTATATAAACTAACTGATATAGTAAATAGCAGTGGTCCCCAACCTTTTCCAACTCATGGCGCGACTTGAAAATCTCAAAATCTGACCTCGTAACAACACAGAGGCCAAAATCACGCCTTTCCCGGGGCATTTTTTATTTGATTGATAATGATCGAACTTGACTCTCTTTCCTTTAAACTCTTCCTGTTGCTATCCAGCAATCCATTTTGATTCTCCAGTTTTTGCCATGGATCTAATCTTTTAGTTTAGAGTAGTTCTAGTTGTCTGTCTTGGTGTGGATGATCCTTCACCCAGCCTGCTTCACCCTTTTGGTCTGGGATTGGAAGTAATGACCTCCAGGCCACCATTGCCTGGCTTGTTCATTGTCAAAGGGTATTCTGGGAAATTTATATGTAGGATAATCACTGACTGATCAAAACAGCTCCTTGAAAGTAAATCGTAGACTGAGAAGAATTAACATACAAGAGAATTTATGGGGATTTTCCATCTGTATTTGGTGTCTGGTAAAAGCATGTTGTGAAAAACCTGCAGATCAGTGCTGGCTTTCAAGTTAACCGCGCGTAACCCCCTGGATATAATTAATTAATAATCACTCCCATCTCTTCTGTCTGAACCGTACTCATTAACGATCACCTCATTAAGACTTTAACCTTTAAAGCTTTTGTTTCATCAGAATCTCTAAGTTATGCAGGTTCAGACAAAACCTGATGCATGATGCACTGTCTTAGTTTGATAGGCTTTGTAATGATCGCGGTTATTCTTGCAGATATTGACTTACAGTTGGTTGTGATTGTTTTTCATAGTTTTTCAGTTCGTGTTTCGTACTATCAAACCTTTGATTCTTGTAAACACTTGGGCAATAAGGTGGTTTTAGGAAGATTTCCCTCACCAGCAGTATAATAACAGCAGGTCAATACTCTGCAAGCTCTGAGTTCTTTAGCATCATCCCTCTGTAGCAACTGCTGCTACAGCACGCTACTCGGATTCATGTTCTGACTCATGTGGAGTAGTATGGGTTTTTTAAACAGCCCCTGCTTGGCAGTGATATTACTTTACTTTGATTTGGTTGAACTAAGTTTTAAGAAAATAACACCACAACAATGATGAAAATGAAAAAAAAAAGTGAAATTCCCTTTTGGTCTGTTTTAAAAACACAAACACAGTAAGTAGGACAGAGAGAGAGTGTGATATGTAAATCAGTGAGCTGGAACAACCCAGTGGGATTTTACAGCTGAAATAAATGCACTCTGAGTTACATCTTGATCTAAATCAAGGTGTATTCCTACATATATTTTCTTTCTGCTTTATAATGGACGTATTTTCTTGACTTATTATAGGACTAATGCTGCACTTTGAGAGAGGGATCAGGCTTTGAACTGCCACTCGAAGATGCCTCCCTCTTTCCTTTACCTGCATGCTTCAATGTCTCTGTAAAAACCTCTGTAAATGCCTTTTTAATGTTGTGTATGATATGGAGGAATACAAATAAGCTTTTCTTTTTTTTTTTAAGATAATAGAGTTATATGTCCCTTTTTCATAGTTGTGCCTGAAGAAGAAACACTCATATGCACACGTATAATCCAGGGTTTTCAGATTCAACAAACTCTTAAGCCTCCGACATGATGTCAGTCTTTTACTCTTGGCTTTTCGTTGAGCCTCTGCCGAGTTCGTCTCTGTCAGGATTCATTCAAAATCAGCTTCATATTGTGAGGCGCACCTCCCTGTGGGGTGTGGGAGAATTTCCTGTCGTACTTGGTAAGGTAACGTACCTGTTCTTGGAATTATCATGTAAGGGTTTCTTTAGTTCAAATCTGACATAATCACATAAGGAGCTAAACTCATTCAAAGTGTCATTAATACACCTCATCCTGCATTTATTTTCACCGATTTTATTTGTCACTACGCTAACCGTAATAATGCCCATTTTCAGTGAATGCAACTCAAGACAACAACTCACCAAGGAAAGCAGAGGGTGATACGGTGCCGTTGCTTCGGGAAACCATGACGCTGATGCCGGTCTCCACGAACGGGACGGAAAACTCCACGACCTCTGACCTCTCTTCATTGATGGTGAGGGAGCCGATGGCCATGTCAGCCCTGTTGGATACCACCTGGGAAACAGGACGCCTGAAGTTAGAACGATTGTGTGTGATTCAAAGAGCTCAAAAAAAAAAAAAAAAAAGGTAAGATAAAAGGTTTCAAGTGATATGTTCTTGAATCAAACAAGGCAATAATAAACTTGTCGGTAAATCAGGTGTAAGGAGCTCAAATCCCTGCACGTTTCTGTGTCTCCTTTTTATTCAACTGCTGAAAAACATTATACCCTCCTACTAAACGTCGCCTTAAGACTGAGCTGTTCGTCCAAACACGGAGCAAAAGTCTTTGAAAGGGAAAAATCCAAAAGCTCTCTTCTTCTGAAAAAAAAAAAGGAAAAGAAAATTCTTCATAGCCCAGCCTTCATCAATGAACTGATGTAAGACTGAGTGCTCGGCACGCTTTCCTCCTCAGAGATGCTCTGACAGCTATAAATGAGGCTCAGGTGGTCAGAAGGTGAAGAAGTGAGGGGATTCACAGCTCTGTTGTGATTCACCTGGCAGGAAACAGAGGTTGCTTGACTGCAGCGGAGGGACCGCGGAGGTTAAAGGAGCTGGCTACCGACCAGAAGTTCATTAGTCTGAGTCCTGGCTTGGCCCCGAAAAGTCTGCGAAAGACAAAAGGCTCCGAGGTCCCTCGGCAGACACCACTGAGACGTCTTTTCACCACACTCTTAAAGTCACATCCTCAAAGTCGTTTTTCTCTTTCTTTGTTGACATCTTAAGTGCTCGCTGATACATGGTGGTGTTTCTGTGCTGCACTTCACAGTTATCACCAGTCAGTCAAAGAGCAGTGGCAGCGGGGCCATGTCTTTATGTTTGGATTTTTCTTTTGATGAATTTTGGGATCCTCTCAGTGCGTCTTTTCTCTGTTCAGACATGATGGTTTTTTGCTCGAGAGCCAAAGTGAAACCACAATGAGAAATAAAAAAATAAAAAAACTCATTCAGGCACATTTGTCACACTGCAAATAACTACAAATCCTATGCAACAGTATGTCCTGCGGTTTACTTTATATGTCTGGTTAAGGAGCTTGACAAACAAGACCATACATCTGTCTTTTGATCTAAAACAGATAACAAGTATAAAGGTGGAAAAATAGCATTATTGATGGATATTATATGAATATGGACGAATCAAACATGAAAATGAAAGAGGAAACAATATTAAATGAGAGATTACATTTGGTTACAGATACTAGTGGAGCAGCAGCTAAGCTGTAGGCGAACTACCCGGTTCTTCTTCTCTTTATACCAAAAGAAAAAAAAAAACAGTCAAAGTTGTCAGAAACGTACATCAAAAACACAGGGAATTCTTCCTGTGTACAACCAACTAGATGGTGAATATCAAAGACATCAAAGGAACAACTTTTAAACCGCTAAAATACAGGTGCGCAGACTTACAACAGCCCTGATCAGAGACCTCTGAATTGCTGCCCATATCTCAGATTCCTTCAGCAATTCGTGTACATTAGATTTTACATGTTGTGCCTTATTTCTGCACGAAACGGCTTTAAAAACAATGACATTATCTAACTTCATAAAGCTACCAAGCCACATCCACGAAAAAAAACGGAATAATTGGGATAACAAAAATGGCGACAAGTGCGGATGATACGTACACAGCTGTAGTGGTCGGTATAAGTTCAATTACATGAAAACAACTATTAAAGTCAACATATATCTTCCATCTTTGCAAATAACGATAACTGCTCTTTGCAAAATGCTACCGCAGAGTCTGTTCCAAGAAATCAGATACCGTGTCAATGTCAAGCAAATCTGATTATCATTCTACTTCAAACTTGCTTGATAGGATATTCATGATTATGGACATTTATTTAATTTTTTGTCAGAGTGATATTACCTTAGCCTGACAATGCGATAAATAGTACTGATTTACTTGATTAGTCTTGTGTGATACGTTCACATGCTACTGGGAATCTCTGAAATGGAAGTTTTGAGAGTTTGCTGCGGAACTTGTTGCAGTCACAGGTGATGATGCTGGAGACTATAACACATAAAACTACGAATAAGCACGTAATAAAGGATAATGACTTATTTGGTCTCTTTGATCTCTTACATTAACAACATGCTGTTTGGCAGCTGATGGTAAATTTATGGATCTCAGAGCTTTTGTAGTGCACTGCACATGAAATGTCATTATAATATAATTACGTAACATAATTAAATCTGAGTAAATGTTCACCGTGATGGATTACCTATCTCAAGCAACTGTCACGTGTTGGAATATAATATCATTTTTCATATCATAATGAATCATTATACTATACCATAATGCAATCATGAGATTAATAGGAATTAATGGCTGGCTGTGAGGCGGAGAGGAGAGTGCCCTGTTGAAACAACATGTGCTCAGTCAACCTTCTCTGGATTAAAAACAACGCAGGAACAAACTTCTCAAGTTTACTTTGGAAAATCAATAGTTTGTCTTTGAAGACAGGAGACGATTTAAAGTGTGTTTCTTTAAGAGCGCGATGACGCACAGGTTTTACACTTTTCATACCGTGTGATTAGCTGCTTCTCTGCTTGTCGAGATCAATCAATCCATGGTAATTATTCTATTTAATGCAGCGAGGCCATTTCAAATATTCGAATGCAGCTACGTCTGAAAGCAGCACCTGTGACACTCCTGTTCAGGAAGTGCTTCGTCACAGCGCGCCCACTTCACACGGGGAACAAAAAAATATTATACAGTTGAGGATGAGAAAATATTAACGGCGCAGGAAATTACTGCCTGACTGGGAGGCATTCATGTAAGGAAGGACAAAAAGCACAAGGCTGAATCACATTCAGAGAAATAGCAGCAATGAATGTCTAGGTGTAGGCTCTCAATGCGAGGCGCAAGGACACAGAATGAGTCTGAGGGAGGCGGATACAGTAGCCTTGGGGAAATTCAGCTTGGTCAGTATGTGAGAAGGGTCGAGTTAACAGAAAAGAATACAATGGCAGTGAACAGAAAAAGAAGAGAGCAGATGAAGAGATGTTTCTGTATAGTGACTATAAAAATGACAATTACTGTCACAGTTAATGTAACAGGAAACAGACAAGGACAGGACGTTGTGAGATATTACAGTTTTCACACGGACTCAGCTGTCCCTGTGCACACATGTTTGTCTGCCGCCGTAATTAAGCAACTTAATGAGACACTGACAGAAGCTGGGCAGGAGGCAGCTGGGGGATGAGAGAGAGAGACAAACAGAGAGAGAGAGAGAGAGAGAGAGAGAGAGAGAGAGGGACCACCAGAGAGAGAGACAGAGAAACAGAGAGAGAGGCAAAGAGACAGACAGACAGGCAGAGAGAGAGAGAAAGATAGAGACAGAGAGTGGGAGAGAGAGGCAGAGAGAGAGACAAACACAGAGAGAGAGAGAGAGGGAGAGAGACAGGCAGAGACAAACAGAGAGAGACAGAGAAACAGGCAGAGAGAAAGGGAGAGAGAGACAGACAAAGAGTCAGAGAGAGAGTCAGACTTTGGAATGGAGGGTTACAGTCGGTCTGAACCCAGCTTAATCTCAGCCCTTACAGTTCCCTCATATTTACAGACATGACTGGATTGTGCCAGTCCCTGTCAAAAAGCCAAAACACACATCTGTCAGCACCTCGTCTCCACGCTTATGTGAGAAGTTCAGCATCCCCCTCCGATCAAACAATAAAAGGATTTGCAATGCATTGCGGATCCCGTCGCTGTGCGCGGTGACATCTAGTGCCTGGCATGTAAAGTCTTATTGACAGGTGTGTGGGATCAAAAACTGTAGTATGTGAAGGAACCAGGAATGCTGCACGCTGTCAATCACTTTCATGATGTTTTAACAGGCGTGGAAAGGTGCAAACAGACTTTATACTGAAATAGATCATTCAATGATGTTTGACAAAACAAATGTGTCAAATGGGAGTCTGGTATTTTCTGAATCAGTCATGTCCAAACGTATCTTCACCAAAACTTAAACTGGTGCCTGTAGAAGTTGAAGATCACACACACATGCAAACTCACATGCACACACATATATACATGCACACACATATATACACACACACACACACACAGACACACACACACACACAGACACACACACACAGACACACACACACAGACACACACACACAGACACACACACACACACACACACACACACACACAGTGATCATTTGCATCCCCTGTGTAACTCCAACCAACTTCATTAATCCAGCCACCAGAGGGGGATTGGCATCATGGAAACAGCAGAATATCTGCCAATACACGCACAGTTATGTACAAGCAGCCTGGTTCTCTCTCCCTCTCTCTCTCCCCAGCACTAATCTTTCTGACAGCCTCCCTCCATATTTTCTCTCTTCTTCTTCGATTCGGGTCCAATCCTCTCTCGCTGGGTCGCGTTTTAAAGGATTTGAGGCAGGATAAAAAGAATTTCACGGGAGCCCTCGAATCAAACCCCTTTTTTTGTAAACACAACAAAAAAAAAAGGGGCGGGTGGGCAGAATAAGAAAAATGATGATGCTACTGTACATGGAAAAGGGAGAATTAAAAACATAGCTACAATATCTCACTGAGACACACACAAAGAAAGGGGTCATGGTGTGTTTATGATTCGGGCTGCTAAACTTCTAAATAAACTCCCAGAAGAAATGCCGTCTGCAGGCTGTGTCTTCTCCCAAGCTGCAACGGAACACACACTTTTATAAACTTGCATTTAATCTCTCACCCATGCTACTGTCACTGTGATGTTTATTTGTTTGCTGCAAGTTCTTTATTGGTTATGAATGTTTCATGAGAGGCCATTTTCTGTATGGTTAGCTTCTTCTGTGACTTTGAAGGAATAGTTTAACATAAATAGTTTCACAGATTGTCTCTAATATACTTTCTTTCAGAGAGTGAGGACCTTAATACCAATCTCAGGTTTGTAATGTTAAGAACCAAGCTGGAGCCAAGGTATTGTTAGCCTAGCTTAGCACAAGAACTGAATTTCAATCGTTTAATTTCTTCAAGTTAAACAAACAGGATACAACATGTAAGCAGAACAGGTATAGATGTCTTCATGCTAAGCTAGGCTAACCTTGTCCTGACTCCAGCTTCATACTTTATGCACAGGTTGATATCAATCTTCTAAATATGTATTTAAATGTTGAGCTGGTCCTTGAAGAAAACAAAATTTGTAAATGTAAATATCCATTTTTGATTGGGTTGCAGATATAAGCTAAAATTCACACACAAATTCGTTTAACCACTGCACAAGTTAAACTGCGGGTAACCATAGCAACAGCACTTGCTGCAGTTTCTGCTAGCTAACAGTTAAACACACAGAATGTCATTTTCTGACGCTACTGGTCTGTCAATCAAAACAATAACAAAAGAGTTTGATGATGTTGTGAGATAGTGTGGGATCATGGGAGTTGTTGTCTTCGCCGTCATTGCAGTCAGCTTCTCCCTCAGTGTCACTCATTCAGGAGGTTTTTACCAGGAGACAAATTATCCGCAGAGGTCTCCTCCTCTCCAAAACAAAAGGACCAGGAGAGTAAAACCAGAAAAAAACACTAAATGAAGCAGTTCATGTTGAAAAAAATCACTGTTTCTCCAATGCTGTGGACACAGGACATCTCTGAGGGGCTGTTAACGCTCAGCTTGTTTCACTGATAACTTAAGGTCCAGAATAAAATCCTTCATATAGTTGAAACGACCAAGATCTAAAAAGTCTACTGTAAAAATGTAGCTTAAAAAGCTCAATTCTGATGCTTCTGGCAGGCAACGACGGCGCAGACGCATGCGCAAATAGGATATGACACCAGTGACAGGCGACCATATGAAACAGAATTTGATTAAAATTACAGATATATTTGGGTAAGTATATGTAAGTACATAACTCTGTAAGCTACATAATATACCTTTAAGTAATGCTAGCTCTCTGGGTTCAACTCATCACAAACAATCTTTAAACAATGTTATTTTCACATATCTGAACCGCTTGTCATGTGTTGTCTCTTCTTTAATTACAGTTACTGATCACTCAAAATGAGTAATCAATGATACACTGTACTATACTTTAATTATATTTAATCACACTGAGATTTCTTTTCATTTTCTAAACAATTAGACTTTCAATGGTTTAAAAATGTTTAAGTCAAACTTAAGATATTTGTGGCTACTACCACTCGACATACATATAGCGTGATGAGAAACTGCTAAATTGCTAACATGAAACTTATTATCACTCACAACCATGCTAATAATCTGTGTAACAGAGCAACCTGCCTGTAATAGGCAGCAGTGTGACCTTGACCTGGATAAGCAGCTGGATAAATGGACAGTTGAATTGATGGGTGGATCCAGATAGCATAGCACATATAACTCAACCAGGTACCACATCTAGCTTTTTGGAAGCTGGACCTGTTACTAAGCTGTAGAGGCACATTAAAATTGTTATTTTATTAACATATTATAATTAAGACTGACAACCTAACCTCTCCGACCATGCCGTTCCACTCCCCATCAATGTTCTTCCCGTGCCTGCCGTTCGTCACCAGGTAAAGGTCGTAGGTGAAGCCCACGATCTTAGCGAGACGCTTCAGGACGTCGATGCAGAACCCTTTGCAGCAGTGCTTCATGGGCCCGGTGCCATCCACCACCAAACTGAAGAGATAATGTGAGAAAAGACAGATAGATGAGACAGGGAACGTGCTTTTTTTGTGAGGTTTAACGAGGTTTTATCAAGGACACTTTGACATGGATAGACTGCTTGTCTGTTGTAGAGATTGAAAACCAAGGAGAGTGTTGCTGGGGGAGTGAGAAAACAAACAGATGAGCGCCAAAGAGACACAGGAAGACACAGGACACTGATGGAGGACAGGAAGGTATGAATTATTGGCGAGGGACTGTGAGCGGATCGATAGCGACAGTTTGAGCTGTTGTGTTTGGAGAGGAAATGCTCGACAGGTCAGACAGCTCAGGAGGAAAAGTGCTGCATTATTAAAACAGAACGAAACTCCATTTTGTGCTCTTGGATGTCGTCTGCGAGCAAAAAAAAAAAAAAAAACTCTGTAAAAGCCTCTGATGCTTCATCCAGTCAACACTTCACCCACAGAGAGCATCATGAGCAGGTCACACATATGGGAATCCAAGTACATTTAAATGACTTATCGGTCAAGTGGCTGCAGTGTCCTCCATCAGCTCTCCAACCCAAGTGCCCGTTTGATAGTCCCTCTGACACTCAGCTGTGGCCTCACAGTGCAACTTGCACATTTGGCAAATTGTTATTACTACAAGCCAAAGTAAGGTCAAACTTAAAAATCTTTTTTTTGCCAACAAATGAAGTCCAGCGTAAGCAGAAATGGAAGGAAATACAAGGTAATTTTAAGGATTTTTAATGGTTGTAATTTGCTATGATTCATTTCCTCTGTATATGCAAATAAATTCATATTATTAACATGATGTATTCCTGATGCCTTCAGCATTTACTCACATAGAAAGATCCTACATGATATATAACAACGTAAGTGCTGCACTTAATTATTCTATACACATCACACATGCTCTGCTAACAGTTCAGGTGCTACTTAGCTAATGGATGCATAATGTCACAACAGCACTTTCCACAGAATAGATGAAAGCAGCTAGACTTGAAATCACATGTATGTGATTGACAGATGGTAAAGCAACATTTTTTTTGGCAGTGGAACAAGCTATAATCACAGCATGGACATGTAAGTATTACCTTATAATTGTGTATATGGCTAACAAGTTAGCAAACAGTTGCTTGTTTACACATTCAGAAGACACAGAGCAGCATTAGCATTCATCTGGAGCCATTCTTTCTGTCGTCCTTACAATTATTAGTGTCCGAATTCATTCTCTGTTAACTTTTGTTTCGGTCTTCATCACCTCCTGAGGAAAATATCTGGCAGCTTTAGCAGCTAAATGCTACAATATGTTCAACAGCTAGTTGCTAGGTTTATTTGTCTGCCGTGTGGCGCTGGGTGGCGCTAACCCTAACCTGTAGGGTACAGTGGGAGAGAGCTAAAATGATGATGAAAACAATACTATTGACTCCTTTTCATAGGTAGAGTAATTTGATTTACTGTTAATATTAAAACACCTTATTGATTGGTACAATTTGAAAAATACTACACGCAGGGAGCATTTATATTAATGACTTAGGGTAACCTACTTTTTCCCTACAACAACTTTTATACTTTTTTCCTTTATTAGTCAAATTATGAGTCAGTTCCCAATTTTGAATTAACATATTAGGGTCAATTTGAAGACCAAAAGCTCAGTAAGTACTATATTATTACATGATAGCCTAAGTACTTAACTTTAAAATGTGTGACATGTGTGGTGTGGTCCTCATCAAAGGTAAGAAATGTTCAGAGTAAAATGCAATTAAGTTTAAATGCCTCAACAGGAGAAAATAAAAGCATAAAATATCTTAGCCACTGCACTAGAAAATAAGGTGTAAAAAAACATAGCAAGTCAATTAAAGAGTAGGAAATAAAAACAGAACAAGAAGACGAGCAAATCTTTAAGAAACAAAAAAAAAAAAGAAAAAAAAGGTCAAAGACGACTTATTAACAAAAGAGCAAACTTCTCTCTCAGCCAATAAAACTGATGGAGGATGAACTCGTTATCTTCCCATTGGCCAGGTCATGTGTTGGCAGGAAGGAAGCTTATCTGGGATAGACCAGGAGGCCAGAAAACACACACACACACACACACACACACACACACACACACACACAGAGCATATTTCTCCTGCCAGAAATTAACCTTGTACATAAGACAGGACAAACACCGACTATAAAGGATTCAGACTGTAAATACGACCGTGTGACACATGATATAGGATTGGTATCATGTTGCTGTTATCTTTTTGTACATATAATTTTATGAGTAAGGTGAAACTCACTGTAAACTGAAATAAATCATTCCATAGTTGCTGTGATTCAAATGTTGGGGATGCAGCAGGGATATTTTGCTCCATCATTAAAAGTCTATTGATTTTGTGTGAAAGTTATTCCTGCTGTTTCTTATCTGGATTGATTAAAAGATAATTAACCTTACTTCGCTGCGCGGTTTCAAGTTCCCATTATGGTTAAAGTAAAATCATGCTTACTCTTAATTGCGTGCTTTGATGTGGTACCATGTGACTTTTAATGTATCTACAGCTGCTGTGAGGCAACTTTATCTTCTCTCAGGGATAATTAGATTATTTTGTGATGTCTTAATCTATTGAACCCAGAGGGAAAGTCTTTCTTTAAGCCTCTGCGTCCCTGTACACAGCTCACGGAGATGGTAAAGATTTACTGGCTTGTTCATGGATGCTTGGCCAGACATCTAAATTTCTCTAGAGATCATAGCAAGGGGCCTCCAGGTTTCATGGTTTCAGGATGTTCTCTATCAAACCACTTTTTGAAACTTCTTTTCCACTTTCTACTAAGGTTTATAGACTGATAAGGATTTAGAGGAAATCACTTGTTATATATAGACCCCTGTTGTGTGTGTAAAAGTGCTTCGGTCAGTTCTCAGGCAGAAAAATGTGACATCTATATTATTCTGTTACTTTCTGCTTATGGCCATAATAAACTGCAGGTCGCCCTGTCCTCACACGTTCTTATAAATTATATTTGAACTCCGTCTACACTTATTTTCTGAGCAGTTTTTTGTTTTTCTCTCATTTTTCCTTTAGTTATATACTGAGTCATTTCAAACCTCTCATCAGCTACTCTGTGAGTCAAATTTAAACCAGAGCAAACCAGAAAATTGACTGTTCACCACTGCTGTGATGAACAAAGTGGCATTTCGCCTTATGTAATGGCCATAATGGGCAGTTTGACTGCTGTTAACAGCCAAGAAGGTTGGAAACTATTGTTGAAAAACCACCAATTTATAATACTGCAAGACCCGGCTAATATGCAAGACAAATATTTTCGAGTGACCATTTCATTCAACCATGAATGTTTGGAAAGCATGGGAGCATAATTTACATGCACTGAAAAATGAAATTTTTATATGTGCAGAAACATGAGGAAATCTGAACTAAAATCAGCAGCAATACAGCTTTAAAACCACTGTTAGACACTGGAATAATAGGGAATTTTTCAGTCTTTTGGGGGTTTGAATATTATCAGCCATTATATTCATAATTACTTAATGCAAATATATAAATTAATTTGTCATTATTTCAGTGTATTGAATAAAAATAAATATACACACCGACCATTGAGAACTGAACCTTGCATAGTTCTGATACAATGAAACACGAAGTGTAAAAGTTTTTATTTATGTTAAAGGTGTTTGATACCTAGGGGTTGATGGTGGTATATTACCTGGAGTTGACGGGCATGCGGCAGGGTACGGAGTCCCGGATGCAGGAGCTGGTTCCCGGGTCTGCGGGCTCCACTATGACAAAGGGCCTCTCCTCCAGGGTGACCACTCTGAGGTGCTGGGAGTCATCCAGAGGCTTCAGGAAGGAGCCGTAACGAGACCAGGGGTGGTAACGTAAACGCAGGTGTCCGTTCTCCCACCAGCCAACCTGGAAAATGCACACAAACACATATAGAAACTTTTCTAAAACGAAAAAAAAAAAAAGAGATGCTACTGTAGTGACTTTAATTGTATCTCAGACTGATACTAAGGCAGAATAGCCAACCAGGCACTGACACCAACTTGTTCTAAATAGAAAAAATACTCAGTGAAAATTAAAAGGTTGCTAATACTCAGGACCACAAACACCCTCACAAGAGAGCAAAATAAGGCTCATAAAAACACAATGCCACTACACACCTTTAAAAAAAAAAAAAATCACACACACTCACACACTGCAATCACATCAAACTATAAGCAAACAAATAAAAAAACACATAAACTGAATTTATATGAAGCCTCAATCAATCACAGTTAATTAAGCTACTGCTCAAGGATTGCATAGTGCCCGTCATCAAATATTGCACAATGCCCAGTTTAAATAGAAATCAAAGAAAAAAAAAAAACAGAGAAAACAACAAAAAGATCATTAGATTACAGCAGTAGGCCCATAACCCTGTGCCCAGAGCCACAGCGTGCTTGATATCCCGACGTCCCATGAATCATACCCTCCACCTCAGTTTTGCACCTTAGTTCTAACAGGCAGATGACTGGGAACGCAAAACAAAATGTTTGGCGTCCCTCGTGCTGTTATCTGCACCAAGCTGCGCTTCGCTGGCCACGGACAGGTAGGAGAGAGAGTGAGAGAGAGCGCTAGCTTCCGTTGTCCCCTAAATAATCTTCCCCAGGGTCCTAAAGGCATCCCTGTAACACTACCTATTGAAATGAAACACATTAACGCATTAACTTTTCAACCAAATTCATCCCGGTTTTAGTGTTGATGCCCTGACCTGCAAATCAATAAGTACATGCTTAATGAGAAGCTAAAAAAAAAACAGTTTCCAGTTTAAAGGAACACTCTTTAATTTGTGTCGCCATCTGTCTATTAATCGTACATTATCACTGTTCGAGTCCTCTGTTAACTCAAGCATTGAATCTTATGCTTATTCCTACACAGTTACAGTATGTTTCAGAGCAGAAACAGTGAGCTGTGATGATAGGGAGGTATAACACAACCCTGAAATATGTGTCTGCCGTATAATGAGCAGTTTGTTCATGTTAACTGAGCTAAATAATTTCCTGCTGCAACATGGTATTCTGAAATACAAACTAACACTAAGAGAAAGACAGTTTACAGCATCACAGTGACCTACATGTGTAAACAAATCTGCTCACGCTGACTGAGGATGTTACTGGATGGATGTGCAACCACAACACAGCAAATGTGTGAGGTATTTTGTCATTTCATAGCTGTGGTGTTGTATATTGATGATATTTGCATACAACCAATTCTCCTGTGGATCATCCTGATGATGTCAGACGTGGCTGCTGGGATTTGTGAAAAAAGCACACTAAGCCTTTTTAGACACGCACACACACACACGTTTTGTTTTGTTTTTTTTTACCTTAGCCTCAAACATCCCCTCCAATGAAAATCAACTCTTTAACCTTGTTAATGTGTCCATATAGTGTTTGTTTTATGATACAAGACATATGAATATGTATGTCTCCAATGTTCCCTCCGCTCTGCTCTTTCATCACTCAACCTAGCACAAGCAGTGGTGGTGGGCGGGGCAAAGACCTCATCCAGAATTTCTCAATGAGGAAGTAAGTGAAGATGTGCTTCCAGCCCCTTTGCAAAGTTTTTTTTTTTTTACTTATTTATATGACAAAAGCATGTTAAATAAAATGTTAATCATAGCCCAGTATGTTTACATACTATAAAACATATCTCTGGAGGGGATTTTAAAGGCTACATGCCAACAGTAAACCAGTGCACTAACTGAAATCTCGCCATAATTTCAACCTTAAAACCAGGTTTAAAAACAAAAGCAAATGATTAACCTCGTGGAAAACAGGGAAAAAATGAAGGTATAGAAAGGTCCGTCTCCTCCAAACGGTCTGGAGCATGACCACTGTATTTATCTACGACAACAATACAAAACCAAACAAAACATGTCCCATTTCCCCAGTGCTGTGCACCTGTATCACTGGACTATAACAAAACAAACAAATCGAACACCTTCCATCTCCTCAGTACTGCACGCCTCCCCCACCAGTGGATGTTACGGACCACACCCCCGAGCCCACACTCCACCCTACCTGCTTTCTGCCTAGGCCCTAAAAAACATCAATACCTAACACCTAATTGGGATGAATTTTTTTTTTTTTCACTATTTCTCTCTCCCTCTCAATGAGTCAAATTATGAATCTATAACGATAACAAAAATCTGTCAGTTGTTTTGTCCCACCGTAATATTGTATGTCAGGGTATTAAGTATTACCTCCTTATTCATGCAGTTTAAAGTGTGAGGGAAATATCAAATTATGCAACCTAACCAGGTCAATTGTGTAATAAAATTTTGTCATTTAAGGTAGAGTTATATTGTCTTAGTTAGGTCAAATGTACTTTGACGTCTGGTCAGATAATTTGACCATATTACATGTTATCTTTTCTTACGCTTCAGTGTAAACAGGTCATATATCAGCAGTAAAGTTTTGTCAGTTGACTGGGTCAGCTACCCTCCAGGTCCACATGGCAGTTAGTAGGTGTAAATAATTACTAACAACTAATCTCATCCAAACAGATGTTAAAACTGGATCCAGCTTTTCATCCTCACTTGAGGGGTCAGTCCCCGTAATGTACCGTGGACACAGATATTCCCATAACATGATGAAGAACAACTAAAAACATAATAGTCTGCACAGGCAGAAAAAACATAGATGCACAAATGCTGCACAAAAACACATAATCTGACACACAGGACCCATAGACACAATAGGCACAAAAACACAAATAGGTTCGCTGGTACACATCCACATTATTATTCATAATTATTCATTTTGGCCACTTTAACACATTAACACAACGACCAGAGATACAAACAAGAGTGTGATGTAAATCTGCAGCACCTGGCACATTGGACCAACCTCACTCACTGTATCATTTATGCACTTTCTGTCTCGCTGTTTTTCACCGTGTCTCTGCTCTCCTCTCTCTCTGTCTCCCTGCTGCATAAATAATAATAGGCAGATCCAATAGTTCATTATAGGACGACATGATAATTTCCTCTGCTATGCTCATTTGTCCTCCAGTTCACCCCCTTACATGTTTTGCATTAACTGAGGTAAATGCTTTCTGCCGCGCTTTAAAGACAAAAAGACTCACATTCATATGCATGCAAGCGCGCGCACGCACGCACGCACGCACACACACACACACACACACACAGATCACTGATTACTATACTTGTGGGAACACCATGCATTCTGTAGCACCTTACCCTAACCTTAACCATCACAACTTAATGTCTAACCTTAACCCAAACCTAATTTTAACTCTAACCTAAACCCAAGTCCTAACCTTCAATCAGTCATTTAAACTTGTGGGGTCCAGCATTGTGGTCCTCATAAGATGTCAGACCTCACAAGTATAGTGGGCTCCTGGTTTTCAGACCCCATGAATATAATAGACCTTAACTATCTAAATTCAGTGTCTAATCCTAACCCTAAAACCATGTCTTAACCCTCAAACAATTTGAATTTGCGGGATCCAGCACTGTGGTCCCCACAAAGCTGTTGTACCCCACAAATACAGTGAAACAAGGCCACACGTACACATATACAAACACAGACAGCCCAGACAAGGACTGAATCCCTGGATTGCCAGCCCAGCAGAAGACAGGAACGGGGAAGGATTTGGTATTTTGAGGTTCTCAGTTATCAGAGCTCAGACAGACCTCCAGATTTTTATCAGAATTATGAGACTCAGTGAAAACACCAACATTAAATGCAACTTAAAAAAATAAAAAATTCACATACTACAAATTGAACGGGTTCTATGTTTATTGGCAGCCTTGCCAAAATGTTGCAGTAAAAAAATATTTTTTACTATTTTTGATATTTCCATTAGAATTAATAATCTGAGGTGCACTGCTCAGTGGACTCAACAGTTTTTTGGGGGGAGGGGGCTACCTGGAAGAATCAATAATTCAGTGTACATTACTACCAAAATCAACACTCTCATCATTGCATTTCCAGTCATTGCTCCCAAAATGCTCTGTGGAATCAATAATTTGATCTGCTTCCCACCTCCTGTCAATAATCTGACATTAATTATCCCAAATCATCCACCAACTGCTTTAGAGAGTCCAATACTTAGAAAGGAATATTTGATGTTCTCTGTATTGTTGTGTTTGGTCATTGTGACACAGCTCTTCTTCTGTTTATTACAAACATATCACTGCTGCTGCTGCTGCTGCTGCTGCTGCAGAGGTAAAACCCACCACTGTCTGAGCACCAGAGGACCTTTTCATACAAAGACCAAACACTCAGTGATAAGAACAGCAACTGTAACAACTACTCCAACCTGGGAATAAGCTGAATCATAGTTACAGTGGTCTGCTTCTAGAAGGCAGCAAATACATTAATTCATAAACCACTGACATCATTGCGTCATATTTGCATTCTGCCTAGTGTCAACTGGTTTCTGCCCTTTATCTGTTTGCTTCTCTCCCCCTCTCTGTGCTCACATATACAGCATTTTAATACAGCTGAATTCCCAATGAAGTTGTTCTTGTTTACATGTTTTACTGTTTCTGTTGGCAGATAACAGAACAAGTTTGAAATAATGACTGAAACGTGTCTCATTGAGACTACATGTTAACTTCCAAGCCATTTCCAAACTGCTGATCTGCTGCTGCTGAAAACCTGATTTTATAACTGTGACATCGTCTGATAAAATCACCAAACACATCAGTTAAAGACAAAGACTGTGCTGTGATTTCAATTATTTTTAGTTGCAAAATGATCATGCAGAGAGTACATTAGAAGAGACCAAATGTCTCTCTTATATAGTTGCTCACACTGGGATCTTTTCTAAGTAGTCATGGTTTGTCCAAAAAGTTGCTAGGTTTGTTGCAAGGTGCTTTTTTTGAAAAAAGTCTTTTA